GGTTCACTGACTTGGAGAATCATGATATCACATTTAAATGAACATTTCAGCCTCACCTAGTTGATGTCACCAAGGCACCTAAAGAACTACAGTTGGAATTGATCGAGCTCTCAGTAGATGACATTTTAAAGTTATTGTTTGATGCTAAGAAAGATCAAATTGAAATATGGAAAAATGCAGTAGAATACCCACGCCTTCAGTGACATGCCTGAAAAATGCCTTCTTGCTTTTCAACCACTTACTACTCCAGATCTACATTCTCCTACCTAACCCAAATCAAGACACCCTTAAGGTCACAAATGACCTGAAACTGTGGGCCTCCATGCTGCAACCAAATATTCAAAGGCTTTCCAACAAAAAGCAGACACAACAAAGTCATTAAAAGGTTAGTTAGGCCGGGCATGGTGGCTCACGCCTGTAATCCTAGCACTCTGGGAGGCCAAGGCAGGCAGATTGCTAGAGGTCAGGAGTTCAAAACCAGCCTGAGCAAGAGCGAGACCCCGTCTCTACTATAAATAGAAAGAAATTAATTGGCCAACTAAGATATATATATAAAAAATTAGCCGGGCATGGTGGCCCATGCCTGTAGTCCCAGCTACTCAGGAGGCTGAGGCAGAAGGATCGCTTGAGCCCAGGAGTTTGAGGTTGCTGTGAGCTAGGCTGACGGCCATTGGCACGTACTCTGTGGGCAACAAAGGGGGCTCGTGTCTCAAAAAAAGGAGGTTAGGTTAACTCTTTGAAATTAAAAAATGTTTTTCCATTTTCTCTTCAATTATGGGGATAGGAAGTAGTTTAGGATTTTAAATGATGTAGGAATCTAATTGAAGTTTCGTTGAATGCAGCCTTTTTGTATTACGCTAATGTAATGCAACCTTCAACATGGTGGAAATTTTCCCCCGCCCTGGCCAAGGGGCATGCGTGAGCCTACGATGATGGCACTGCACTTTCCAGGCCAGGGGCAATAAGAGTGGACCTGTTTCTCAAAAAAAAATCCTTTTTATGTAAGAAGAAATTTCAAGAAAAGGTAGAAAGAGGCCCTGTACAGTGGCCACACTGCTAGTCCCAGCTACTTAGGAGGCTAGCAGGGGAGGATCCGCCTTTGTCCCGGAGTTTGCGTCCAGCTTGGGCAGGCATGTGGACACCTCCAATCTCTAAAACAATTTTTTAAAAGAAAGAGAAAGAGGTGAATACAGGGGGCCCGGCGCTGTGGCTCCGGCCTGTTAATCCTAGCTCTTTGGGGAGAGCCCGAGGGCCGGGGGGCGGTTGTCTCAAGCGTCAGGCGGTTTCAAACCCAGGCCTGAGCAAGAGCGAGACATCTCTACTATAATCGCAGAAGAATGTATTGGCCCCAATTCTGGATATTATCATACGTTTATATTTAGAAATTAGCCGGCCATGTGCTGGCGCGCATGGGGCGGGTCCGGCTACTCGCGGCGGCTGAGGCAGGAAGGGATGTCACTCGAGCCAGGGGGGCTTTTGAGTTGCTGGGCTAGGCTGGACGCGACGGCACTCACTCTGGCCTGGAAACAAAGCGGCTCTGTCTGCAAAAAAAAATTAAAAAAAAATAAAAAAAATAAAATAAGAAAAGAAGAAGAAGAGTAATGAACAGCGTACTTAGATCGAAGTTTCTAGGAGTTATCAATTTTTTTTTGTCTGATGCTTATATATGGTAACACCTTTTACCATACCCTGACGTTTGTATTGTCGTGTTGACAATTTATCCCTGCAGTTCGTATCACTGGAGTCATAGAATACTCAGTATGTATCTTTTAAACATAAATGTACATTTTTGAAATATACCGATTGGGCTAGTCCTTTATACACTTAAGAAATTATATGATTCCCAATATCAGCCAATAACGCAGTCAGTGGTTTATATTTCCCTTTGCGCTCATAATTTTCTTTTTTTTGGATTTGCTCTAAGCTTCAGGATCGGTAACTAGCTCCACCATTGAAATCGTTGATGTGCCTTCTTAAGTATCTTTTAGGGCGTATAGTATTTTTTCCCTTTCATTATTTTCGCCACACCCGCCCTATATTTAATTTGTTGGGGGAGGGGCCTAGGTCATTAGGCCTGTAGAATTTCCGGGGGGTTTTTTTACTTGCCCGATTATATTGTGGTGTATTTAACAAGTTCCTCTCTCCTGGTATTCTCCTGTGCTCAGGATTCATGTTGTGTTTTGGGGGGAAGGAATGTTTCATGTGGGGTGGTCTGTGTGATTTCTCATTAGGAGGCAATAGACTGGCTTCTTGTGTGTTCAGCGCCCTGATGTGACTATCTGATCTATTAATTCACTAGGAGTTGTCCAAGTGGTTGATGTCTGTTTCTTTACCTTTCTTCTTAGTTATTAGATGGATGCCTCTATAAAAGAGAATATGCCACAATCAATGATTTGTACGCGCCCCTAAAGTAGCGATTGTACAGGAATGTAGAGTATCCGCCTCATGTATTTACTTAATTTTCAGAAACTAAATGTGTTGGTTTCGCTAGCACTGGCCAAAGGGTGACACAGATGTGCTTGTTGTTAAGTATCGGTAGTGAACTCACGATTGTTTTGTATTATGTTTCGAATTCATTGCTTTTTTGATGGTATACTATTATTTTATTGTTGTATCCAGTGGAAGTGTTATTCAGTTGGCTCCCAAGCTTTTTTTTTTTTTTTTTTTTTGACGACGCAGAGTCTCCGTTTGCCTTTGGCCAGCTGAGTGAGTGCCGTGGCATCAGGGCCTAGCTCACAAAGGGTGGCCATCTCCTGGGTAAGCATCTCCTGCCTCAGGCCTCCGAGTAGCTGGGGACGTACAAGCAGAGGCGCACCGATGCCCGAGGCTAATTTTTTTTTTTGGTTTTGTATGTATATTTTTAGTTGGTCCAATTATTTCTTCATAGTATAGTAGAGGACAGGGTCTCCTCAGGCTGGTTTCGAAACTCCGGTGCCTGGCGCATCGGCCACCTCGCGGCCCTCCCGAGTGTAGGGATTACAACGTGAGCCACCACGCCAGTCTTTTGAATGATCAAGGTAATTTCCTTGGTTTCGGTGTATGCAGATTTCTTATATCCGAGATTTGTGCGTGTGTATTGGTTCGCTGCCCAGATCAGGCATCAGTCATTGTTTCAAGAATCTTAGTTCCTTTTAATAAGAGATGAGTTGTAACATCCTCGAGTCAGCGGCGGTTGATCAGATTTCTAGCTTTTTAATAGAAGAGTTAGGAAATTCTCTTGAAATACATGTCTGAACTCTCATATTATTTTCAATAGTCTGCAAGATTTTTTTAAGGTCCTAATCGTCGGTCACATTTTTTACTTTTCGTCCTTTATCAAAACTCCAAATTCAATAGACTCCATAAAACTCTTACGCTTGCGGTACTTCACAATAAACATGCAACTGTTTAGAATACGTTGTAACTCTTAGGCAATAATATGATATTGAAATCCATTTAATGTTATGCAGTTCTTGTTTGTTTTAAGGACATTATATATGAAATCAAATAAAGTGCACTTGAAAGAGTAGAGTCTTCTCTGGGGTTATCCACCCAACCAGAGTATACGTTTCAGTTTCATTTATGCAATTTTGATTTGTTTTTTAGGATGCTTTCTATTTTTATTATATTTATTTTTTATGTTATTTCTGAGTCAGAGTCTCACGTTTATTGCCCCAGCTAGAGGTGAGTGCCGCTCGGCGTCCAGTCGCTACGTCACAGCAACCTCAAACTCCTGGCTTCAAGCAATCCTCCGCCTCGCCCTCAGTTAGCGGGTACTACGAGGCATGACCCAGCCAATTGCGCCGGCTATTTTTGATAGGTATACTATATATGTATATTATTTGTTGGCAATAATTTCTTCTAGTTTGTAGTAGGGGAGACGGGTCTCGCTCTTGCGTCAGAGGCTTGGTTGTCAAAACTCCTGACCTCGAGCAATCCGCCCGCCTCGGCCTCCCAGAGAGCTAGGATTACAGGCGTGAGCCACCACGCCCGGCAGGGATTGCTTTTAAATTTATGTTTTAAACGTTATTTTGTAATTATGTAAAATGTTTACAAGTTTCCAAAGGCAAACTTCCAGATGTATTCAGAGGACTGTGGGATTCTACCCCAGTTCCTCTGCCCTGTCCCCTCCATATAAATTCTTTTTTACAAGAACAAAGTTTTACGACTTCTTTCATTTTGAAAAAATAAGCAAATATCTTCATATATTGAAGTCTCCTTTTTTAGATAAACAGTAGCATACTATCCATGCTTTGTTTTCACTAACCGTGTATTCTAAGGATCACTCCAAACAGTCCTCATTCTTTTTTACAGCTCTGTAGTAGTCCATTGTGTGAATTGTACTTAGTATTATTTGGATGCTAGACATTTTTAATCAAAATAAAAATTTAAGGAATTATGACTTTTGATTATGGTCAGCTAATATTCATGCCCCTCTCAACATCCTCAGGTCCTCTCGCCCACGTGGTCAGCAGCTCTGCTGTTTGTCCAGTTTCCACACCCTCATCTCTGGGGACCCTCTCTAGCCTGAGCAAATGTCCCATGTTTTTCAAAGCATTCTTAGGCATCTACGACTAGCCCTTTTTTGGCCCATCCCCTTAAAACCCTGTTCTTTTTTGTAAGGGACAATGCATGCTAAGGAGTTTATTTTAAAACAATATCTGCAAAAGCTTTACTCCCCTGATGTGTTACACGTGGGTAACATGAGGCCTTGACCTCAAATTGCACATGTACCAGGGTATCACTGGTAGCTTTATTAAGCATCGTGCTTGAACTTAGTATTAAGCACCATGTTTTAGTGCTTAGTATTGTTTATAAAACAGACAAAACAACTAAACATCTGAATTTATCTTAGGATCTCATCAGAAAGAAACATCCTAAAATAACCAATAAATACCAATAATGGTAAATCACATGTACATATGAATACTGGGGATGGAGGTTGTGGCAGCAGTTTTTCTTGCCTTTTAGTGTCATGTGGGAGACACAAACACCCTGCCCAGGAGCACCACCACTCGTACCTTCATCTTCCTGGTTCAGTCTTTGCCCTGAAAAACAGACTCGCCACCTCGGGATGAAGACGGGATTTTACTCTGGAGACAGAAGAAAGAAAGGAACTGCATCAAAAGTACAGGCTCATAGTTAAACTGTGAAAACCCTCAATCATTTTACACACACACACACACACACACACACACACACACACACACACACCCCGATAGGCTATTTCATTAGAACTGGCCACAGAACTCTGGAAGCTGCCATTGAAACCTGGAGAGCCATGGAAGCGATTTCGAAAAGTCCTGGGACAAGAGGGCTGCAGTGACTTTCGGGAGCTGCCCGGACCTTACACTAACAGGACAGAAGTTAGCAGCATAGAAGCAGCTGGTGCAACTAGAGCCACTATCGCTGGGCTGCCTGCTGTCTGTCTTAAAGGGAAGTGATATTAGTTACTATCCATTAGCTCTTAATTTTCTTAAGAAAATCCCGAATATGACTTCAGATGGAACCAGTACAAGAAAATCTAACATATGGAATTCTGAATGATGAAAAACAAATGTGGGCATGATGATTTACAGTATGTGATTTACCACGACATTTATAAAGTCAAAGAATTTAGGCCTAAAAGTGTCTCTGAAAAATTTAGTGCTTTAGGCCTCGATGCATTTGTACGTGCTGTGGGCTTAGCTTGGAATTCCCTTTCCCCACATCACTTCATCCTAATCAACTCCCACTCATTTTTTAAGACTCAGTGTTACTCCCTCCTCTATACTTCCATAACACTTAGCATATATTTCTTGTGACAGTATCATGTTGTGTTATAGTTAGTTGTTTATTTCCTGTTTTCTACTAGACTATGAGTTCTTGGGAGAGAGAAGCCTGTTCTCCATACTTCAGTGCCTAACATAAAAGACATTGGATGTTTATTAAGTTGTCTCAGAGGCCAACTAATCCAGTCCCTTTAAGTATACGAAACTGAAGCCCAAAGGGTTTTCATAAGTTTAGTAATTCAACAAATATATACTATTTCCTATGTGCCTAGCTCTACGTAAGGCTAAATATCTTTAGTGTACTTTAATATGATTCAGAATATGCTTCATTTCCATTTGTCCAGAGATCAAAAGACAAATACCAACATCTTCTGAATCCTCAAAGAAATATTAAATTATGTTCAGAATTGGTTTATATCAATTTATGTTATGGTTTTCTAAGGGAGCATTACCCAAGAATATTATCTGCAGAATGTTACTGTGGGGGTGGGGAGGGAGACAGTGGGAGTGTTGAATGCTCAATTTAGTCTAGGAAACACTGGATTACATTAAGTTAAATAGTTCCTTCTCTGAACTTTCAACATACCACAGTGATTAGTTAAGTCTCCAAGAACAGCATCTAATGTGCAGTGTCTCCCAAATGCATTTGACTAGCAAACCTCCCCCTTTCTGTTGCCTCTATTAATAGACTCCAGAAATGGAGTTCTAAAGAGCACAGAGTTGGTGGATGCAGGTCTTTGAAAAGTGCTCATCTGTGTTTAGTGAGGGTTTCAAAGGGAAACTCAAAGCTCTCCGGGGAGGAAGGTGGCTGGAAACGGGGAAAGGAAGGTTGGAGAAGGGGCGGTGGGGAGGGGAAGAAAGGAGTGGGGGGGATGGATAACAAGCAGACGGGCTTTGGGAGCAGAGGTGGGGAGCATGGCGAGGAGAGGGGAGAGCCCTTCTGTGGGAACATGCAGCATGGCTTCGGCCCTCTGGGCTCCAGAGGACACGGCACCCTGCCTGCAGCTCCCCAGGGGCTGCCACACGTTATGTCTGTCGGGACCACTGTGCCCATGGGGGCGGGAGGGAAAGGAAATGGAGCAGGCACAAAGTAGGGGACTGAATGTTTCATCGACATCTGTGAACGTACCCCAGAGGCTCCTAGACATCATTGGGGTTGGATTTAACAAGGAATAGTAGCAATGAGGAACAAAATTTGCAGGCCCTAGTACAAAGGCAATATGTGGGTCCCTTGCTTTAAAATTAAGAATTTCATGAGGCTGCCATGGCCAGAGAGTTATCGCTGGTCCTATAACCCCATTTGAATTCCCTGGTTACTATGGCCTGGAGAAACCAAGTGACACAAGGCTTATATAAAAGGTAAGTCTCCTTTTTCCAAAACACCCGATTATCATGGAAACACTGTTTACCAGTTGCTGTGGTCTGAAGGTATGTGTTCCCCACCCCTCAATATTCATATCTAATCTCCAACACAATAGCTTTAAGAGGTGGGGACTTTAGGAGGTGATGTGTTCCTAAAGTGAGTAGGGTGAATGGGATTAGTACTCTTATGAAAGAGACCCGAGGGAGCTTTTTTGACCCTTCCGTGATGTGTGAGCATAGCAAGAAGGTACCCTATGAAACAGAGAGTGAGCCCTCACCAGAGGCCAAATTTGGTGGTGCCTTGAACTTGGTCCAGAACTGTAAACAATACATTTCTATTGTTTATAAATTACCCAGTCTATGACATCTTTGCTGTAGCACCCTGGATGGACTAAGGCACCAGTCATTCTGGGTAAGCTTGACTTCGTTATAAGATAAATTTAAGTACACATTAAATTCCAGGAATATATTTAATGCAAAAATCCAGGCACATCCAAGCTATTTCCATATATAGTTCTCATACCACAAACAACCTCCCCTCTTCTCGTGCTGTGAATAAAGACAGAGCTGCAGCTGCACTGCAGAGGAGTGTATAACCTTTGACTTTGTCCTGGGGTTCAGTACCAGTATTTATTTGGTGCTGAGGCAGCACTCAGCACCCGTGCTGATTTCTCTCGAAAATGAAAAACAAACTCGGGTGGAAAATCTGGGCAAGCAATGTCATTTGCTATTTTTGGAGATGAGGGAGAAAAAGAAAGTTGTGGAAAGTGTTGTAATAAGCAATATTAGAACAACAGACCATGAGTATGGAAAAAAAAACAAAACACCTGCATATTCTTCTTAACAATGTTGGCTGAAAGCAACTAAGTGAAGGAGAAATTAGCAGGGGGGAGAGTGGATTCCCCTAAGGAGAGGTCACTGGCATTGTTCCAAAAACAGCCTGAAAGCACAAGTTACCTTACCCTGTAAGATTAATCTCCATCCTAACAGCAATCCTATGTTGGAGACACAGGCATACCTCAGAGAGAACACGGTGTCAGACCCAGACCACCGCAATAAAATGAATATTGCAGTATGCAAGTAGCACAAACATTTTGGTTTCTCAGTGCATATGAAAGTTATGTTTACTCTATACCATAGTCTAGTAAGTATGAAATAGTAGTATGTGATAGGATTATGTGAAGTAGTATTATGTCTATAAAAACAGTGTACATACCTTAATTTAAAAGTACTTCATTGCTAAAAAATGCTAACGATCATCTGAGCCTCCAGCAAGTCATAATCGTTTTGCTGGTGGAGCGGCTCCCCTCGATGTTGGTGGCTGCTGACTGGTCAGGGTGGTGGTTGCTGAAGGTCGGGGTGGCTGTGGCAATTTCTTAAAGTAAGACGACAATGAAGTTTGCCACATTGATTGACTCTTCCTCTCATGAAAGATTTCTCTGCAGCACGTGGTGTTGTTTGATAGTATTTTGCCCACAGTAGAACTTGTTTCAAAATTGGAGTCAATACTCTCAAACCCTGCTGCTGCTTTATCAACTAAGTGTATGTGTATATAATATTATGAATCCTTTTTTTGCCATTTCAATAATATTCATAGCATCTTCAGCAGGAGTAGTTTCCATCTCAAAAAACCACTTTCTTTGCTCATCCACAAAAAGCAATTCTTCTCCTTCTTCTTCTTTCTCCTTCTCCTTCTCCTCCTCCTCCTCCTCCCTCTCCCCCTCCCCTTCCTGCTCCCCCTCCTCCTCCTCCCTCCTCCCCCCTTCCTTCTTATTTTAGGATATACAGAAGTAAAATTTATTTCTCTGAAAAAGAAAGAAAGAGAGAAAGAACACAAGAAAGAGAGAAGGCAAGTTAGTGGCCACAGCACACAAAGGGAGGAATGGAAATGCTGGGCCCAAGAAGCAATTTTTCATCCACTCAAGTTTTATCATGAGATTGCAACAGTTCAGTCACATCTTCAGGCTCCGCTTCGAAGTCTACTTCTATCCCTATTTCCACATATGCAGCTACTTCCTCCATTGGAGTCTTAAAGTCCTCCCAGTCATCCACGAGGATTGGAATCTACTTCTTCCAAGTGCCTGTTAATGTTTTTAATGACATCTAGAATGACGAATCCTTTCCAGAAGGTTCTCAATTTACTTTGCCCAGACCCATCAGAGAAATCACTATCTATGGCAGCTATAGCTTTATGAAATGTTTTTCTTAAATATAAGACATTCACTGCATCATTTTGCACTTTTATGTTATAGAGATGGCTTCTTTCCTTAAACCTCATGAGCCAAACTCTGCTAACTTCAAACTTTACCTTTTCAGCTTCCCCACCTCTCTCAGCCTTCATAGAATTGAAGAGAGTTAGAGGGCCTTGCTGTGGATTAGGCTTGGCTTAAGGGTACGTTAACATAGCTGGTTTGATCTTCTATCCAGACCACTAAAACTCTCTCCATATCAGCAATAAAGCTATTGCACTTTCTTACAATTTGTGTGTTCACTGGAATAGCAGGGTCCAGGGCTCTTTTCTCTACTTTGCCCACTCTGACAAAAGAGTTAAAGAACCAAAGATGGGGAGAAACATACGTGAAAAGTTCGAGGACACCCACTTAGTAAGAAATTTAGGCTTACCATTCACAATGGACTTGACACTCCTGAAAACTGAGGGGCCCTGAGCGAAAAGAGGTGCAGGATTGAGGTGCTGGGAATGAAGGATCCAAGCCTGCAGCTTTGAGGCTTTCAAAGCAAGAGCATCCATCTCAACCAAGAAAGATTTATTTTTCAAATATGCTCTGAGATTTCAGTACATGCTGTGCGTGTACCAGGTGCAAGGAGCACTACAAAAGCATGAGGATGGCGACCTACAGGGAATTTAGCAACCCCAGCAGGAAGGCAGCCGTTGTTCCAAAGATGTCCCAGTGCAGCGTGTAACAGCCACTGGAGCAGTGCTAGTTGCCTTTAGATGGGGA